CCCACTCATGTCCCGTCCTACCCTAGGCTCACCTTACCCAGGCCCCGCCCAGTAAGGCTCCGTCCGTCCCGCCCACGTGGGCGGGACTCCTCAGGTTCTTCCTCAGTCCTTCCTCTCAAATATCACTGCCTGGGGCCAGCAGGTAGCATGCTGGTTAGGCGTCCAGATTCTTGCATAGCTGTTTTAGTAGTTCGAATCCCAGACTTGGCAGCTAGAAAGTCATGCCAAGCGCGTGTGCATGCATACCCAAAGTCCCGAAAGGAGAATGGAGGAGAAAGGACTGCAGCATGACCACCATCGTCCCCGCCTTGGGGGGCTGATTTCTCACTTTCCTTCTCTGCCTGTCTCTGGCAGGTATGCATGTCCTATGGCAAAAACCGAAAAAAAGAAAAAAAAAATCACTACCTAATTAGGCCCTTCTGGACCACATCCCCCTCGCAATGTCCTGTCGTCCCAGCTGGGCCTCCTTGTGGCCACCTCCCTCGCTGACCTGTAGGCCCGGGAGGGTGGGGGCTGTCCCCAGGCCTCACCCCTAAGCCATCTGCCCACCCACTCCCCATTCTTTCCCGACCCCACATAGAAAGAACGCTTCGCCGCCCTGGCCAAGTTCAAGTCCAGCATCTACCGGATCCTGATCGCAACGGATGTGGCCTCCCGGTGCGTAGCCCCTGCGTCCTGTCTCCATCCCCTCCTCAGAGAACACCCTCCCCTACCACAGTCCAGAAGAGAGGCTGACCTCTGGCGTGGGTCAGGCAGCCTCTGCTTCTCTGAGAGGGACCTGGAGGGAACCTCTGCCTCAGTTTCCCCACTCTGCCTCCAGGGGCCTGGACATTCCCACGGTGCAGGTGGTTATCAACCACAACACCCCAGGACTCCCCAAGATTTACATCCACCGCGTCGGTCGGACGGCCCGGGCAGGTGAGCAGACAAGGAGGGCGGTCTGTGGGTGTCTGTCTGTCCAGCCCACCCTGCCTTGGAAGACCCAAAGTGGTGCTGTATGTGTGGGTCGCAGCCCACAGGGGAGAGACGCCAGAGGTCACGTTTGCAACCCTGGGGGAGCGTCCTGTCGAAAGCAAAGGTGCCCCAATCCCCACCGCACCCTATTGCCTCGTCCCAACCCCCTTTTCCTACCAAGTCTGCTGATCAGGGCCCAGTAACGAGTACGTAAAGAGACCTGGTCGATACGATGCCGCCCTGTGGGGTTCGGGGTTCAGGTTCAGCCCCTACCTCTGGCCCTGGCCTAAGGGCCCCCGTGACGTGTGTCTATATTCCAATCCCCCCAGGAAGGGAGGGGCATGGTGTTCTTTTCTCACACCTAGAACCAAGAAAGATGTAGCACCTTGGGACCAGCAGTTAGCGTAATGGCTATGTTGCTGGACTCCCACGTAGTCGACCGTGGTTCGAATCCCGGACTCGGTGGCTTAAATGCACGCCGGGCACGTGTCCGTGTGTGCCCAAGATCCCAAGAAGAGAATGGAGGAGAAGGGATTGCGGCGTGGCCATCCCCCCCGGGGGGGTGATTTCTCGCTTTCTGTCTGGCGAGCGCACACGCTCTACAGCAAAAATCTCTTAAAAGAAAAAAAAGGAAAATCAAAAGAAAAAAAGATGTAGCACCTGGGGTCACAGTGGGCCTGGCCTGGCTCTCCTATCCTGACCCTGTGACTCACGCAGCTCCCTGGAGACCCAGTGCCTCAACAAAGGACAAGTAATCAGAATGGCGACCCTTCTGTGAGGCTGCAAAAAATACTCACGGGCCCCAGTGGCCCTCAGTGCTCTTCCAATCCACGTCACGATTACAGAAATTGGGAGCAGAGAAGCCAGGATGTGGGGCTTGTAGGCCTGTCAGCACTAATCACTGATACTTCTTAGTCTGGGCTTCCTGACAGCCAAGGTGAAAAGGGAAATCAGCCTCATCACTAGTCCCTGTGGAAGGAGGTTTGGCAGGAGCTGCCCACCCTCAGCATCTTGTGGCTCCCCTGGGAGACCTATCTCCCACTCAGAGGTCAGCTGGGAGGTGAGCCCCAACGTTCTGGGCTGGCTGCTCTCCAAACCAGACCTTTGCTCAGACCTCAAGAGGAGCCTGGAGGCACCCTCGGTCCCAGTGCATAGCAGGTAACGGCGGTGTGTCCCCACAGGACGGCAGGGACAGGCCATCACGCTGGTGACGCAGTATGACATCCACCTGGTGCATGCCATCGAGGAGCAGATCAGTGAGTGGGGCTGGAGGGCGGTGGGGGACGCTGTCCCGGTCAGACACCAGCTCGCCTGCTCACGGGAGCAGGTGTGAACGCCTTCATTTGCTGCAAAACCCCAAAGAGCTTTCTTTTGCCCGGTTACCTGAGCACGCGCCCCACTGTGGCCATCACCCGGCAGGGGAGGGGTTTCAGACAGAGGTGCATGGCGGGGGGGTGCCCGCCCTATGGCAGACTGAGGTGTGTGGCTGGTCTCTGAGATTGTGTGCAATGACCTGGACCTGGGCGGGTTAAAAACCCCTTCGAGGGACCAGCAGATGGTGTAGTGGCTATGTCACTGGATTCCCATGTAGTCGACCGTGGTTCGAATCCCGGACCCGGTGGCTTAAACTCACGCCGGGCGCATGTGCGTGCGTGCCCAAGATCCCGAGAGGAGAATGGGGGAGAAGGGATTGCGGCGTGGCCATCCCCCCGGGGGGGTGATTTCTTGCTTTCTGTCTCTCTGTCTCTCTCTGTCTGGCAGGTGCACACACCCTGTAGCAAAAACCTCTCCAAAAATAAATAAATGAATGAATAACGAATTTTAACAAAAAAGAATGACAATGAATATAATTAAAAGAAAAAAATTAAAATCCTCCGCCAGGTCTGAAGCCTCCCCAATTCTGCCCACTTAACCATCACCTGGTCCCCCCCACCCAGCTGACCTGGCATGCCACACTGCACAGGGTGCTCACTCCCTGGCTGCACTTGAACGCCCTGTCCCTGTGTCCCCCCCCGCTCCCCGAACCCACAGAGAAGAAGCTGGAGGAATTCTCTGTGGAGGAGGCCGAGGTGCTGCAGATCCTCACGCAGGTCAACGTGGTGCGGAGGGAGTGTGAAATTGTGAGTGTGCGCGGGGGCTCAGGCTAACCTGTCCTGCCGGGGCGGGGGGCCTTGGCGATGGGCCCCCATGACCACCTCTGCCTCTGCCTCCCCTCCCGCACCCCCAGAAACTGGAGGCGGCCAACTTCGATGAAAAGAAGGAGGTCAATAAGCGGAAACAGCTGATCCTGGAGGGGAAGGTGAGCAGGGGGCTGGGAGGTGGTGGGGGAGGCAGGGCCTGGGGGCCCGAGGGGCCCAGCTCAGCCCCCTCTGCGCGCTCCGCACCCAGGACCCCGACCTGGAGGCCAAGCGCAAGGCCGAGCTGGCCAAGATCAAACAGAAGAACCGGCGCTTCAAGGAAAAGGTGGAGCAGACGCAGCAGAGGCAGAAAGGCGGCGGGGCTGGCCGCAAGGGGCGACCGCCCAAGGCCCACGGGGACACAGCAGCCACCCAGGGCCCAGCCTGACCCCACCCGGTCCCCCACCTGCCAGTCTGAAACTCACAGAGCTGAGCTGAGGGGTCTCCCTCCCAGGCTGCCACAGAGCAGCTCCTAAGATGAGACCGACTCTGTGTACCCTAACCCGGCCCAGGGGACAGCAGGGACCCCAGGGGACAGCAGCGGCCATACTGGGAGGCCCCAATAAATTATTTTGTTTTCTTAACTTCCTCAGTCTGACCCTTGGGGCCAGGAGCCAGGAGAGGAGGTACCATCACCTGCACTTTTCTTGTCCCCCCAAAAATAGCTGCTCTCCCCGCCCACCCATGCCTGGCTGTCCAATCCCAGTGGACAGACGCAAAGCTCTGCAGACAGCTTGAGTCACGGTGCTGGCTGGTGGGACAGGCGACTCTGGGTCAGTGAAGCCCCATTTCTGGGCCTCTCAGTGCCTTCATCTGGAAAATGGGTATAGCGGAACCAGCCGGCAATGCGGTGGCTAAGGGTGCCGGATTCCTACATGGCCGACCGTGGTTCGAGGCCTGGACCTGGCGGCTTGCTTTCTCACTTTCCCTCTCTCTCTCTCACTCTGTCCCTCTTGGGTCAAATTTAAATAAAGTGAAATAAAATAATTCTTTAATAAATCTGCATGGCTCTCCAGATGCAGCTAGGAGGTGTGGAGCTGGGCTTCACGGCTAGCCCATACAGCTGTGTTCTAGAACTTTCCCTGCCCACCACCAGGCCGGTCCTCACCAGGGTCCACCGAAGCCCAAGCTTGTCCAGGCGACAGGAAATAAGTAGCCTGAGGATTAAGAGGCACAGGCACCAGACTGGGGCGGGCCCCAGCTCACCCCTGGGCCCTCGGATCCTCATTCCTGGTTTGCAGATGGCTCAGAGCGCCCTCTGACGGCAGGTGGTATAGACGTGTCCCAAAGGAAGCGGGTAACGGGGTGGACACGGTGATGAGGGGCCTGAGTACCCAAATACCACACACACACACACAGAACCACGCTTAGAAATGTAATCGGGGCGCCAGCGGGCACCCCACAGATCCTAGAAATTCTACACAATGAAAAGCTGCAAAACAGCCACCCTGGGCTGACTTGGACTCCCCGCACGCGGGTCCCGGCCAGGGCGAATGGGCCCGACTGTGCCGCCTGCGGCCCGGTCCGCGCCCCGGGGTGGGCATCGTTCATAGCAAAC